TGTCTGACTTTTCAGGCTCTTCCTCTGGTTCGGAAACAAACGTGGAATTTACGATCATGACTTCTAGTTTGCGAATACTGCATTTTCAATTCTTATCAATTTGCAATAGGTCACCAGAAACATTTAATTTTCATATTGCAAATTGAGTGGGAGCTGAAGCTGGGGGGAAGGGGGAAGGATAGTGGAAATCAGTAGCTGACTTGAAGAGGAAAATAGATAATTGGAGGATGAGTATATGAGGTTCCACTTTAGTTTAACAATACAGTTGTTACAAAATTGCAATATATATCTACAAACCCCTTTTCTACGTGCCATAATCATTTTTGTCTTGCTTTGCACAAAACAGATTTGTTCACAATAAAGGTAATTATATACCAATTGTAAATTGGGATTGAGTTCCAAAGAAAGATCAATAAACGTAATCTTTACAGCCTGGAAAGAAGGCAGTTCAGTTCAGAGGCAAGAGTGCCACCACTGAGCCAGGCTTTGTGTGACAGCCTGGCTCAGTGGTTCCACTCTTGCCTCCGATTTAAAAGATTGTGGGTTCAAGCCCCAGGAACGGATTTGGTCTAATTTTAAGATGACATTCCAATGCAGCGCTGGGGGTGTTGCATTTTTAGAGGTGCCGTCCTTTGGATGAGACACTAACCCAAAGTCCTGTCTGCCTGGTGGGAACACTCAGCGGATCAGACAGCATCTATGGAGAGAGCAAAGTGAGTTAACATTTTAGCTCAATGATTTTTCGTCAGAACTGGTGGATGTTGGAAGGGAATAGATTATAAGGACAAGCAGAGAAGGCAGCGGGGAAAGAAAGACAAAGGAAAATTTAAGGGGAGGAGATGAGATCAGAGGTGCTAACGGTGCAAAGCAAAGGGCAATAGTGGGAGATTATAGAAAGAAAAGATGTGTCTGAGACTCAGAGTATGTGTGAATGGTTATAGAAGAAGGGAAAGGGGAGGAAAGGCTGAGAGAAGATGGGAGCTGTGTTTAATGTCTGAAGTGGTTAAAATCAATGTTGAGGGCTGTAAGGTGCGTAGGACATAGATAAAGTGCTGGTTCCTCAAGTTTACTTTGTGCTTCAGTCGAACAGCATAGGAAGCCATGGACCGAGAGATCAGGTGGGAGTGGGAAGGAGAATTAAATTGGCAAGTGACTGGAAGCTCAGGGTCGCAATTGTGGACAAAGCAAAGCAATCAACCAATCTGCGTTTGGTCTCCCCGATGTAGAGACCACATTTGAGCAGCAAATACAATATATTAGGTTGACGGAAGCACATGTAAATCACTGTTTCATCCGGAAGCAGTGTTTGGGGTCCTGGACAGTGGACGATACCTTGGCACTATTCGCAAAGAGAAGGGAATGTCTCCCAGTGTCCTGGCCAACAATCTCCCAAATAAATTTGATCACTTACTCATCGGCTGTTTGTGTGTAGCTGTGCACAACTAGCTGGCGTTTCATCCACAAAATACACATTCAATCTAGTTTACAGTATTTACAGTAGATTCCCAGCAGGGCAAAACACTGGGCAAGCTTCCTTACTCCCCACACCTCTGTTTACCTAGCAGTAGATAGGAATCCGATTGTTAGTTGATTGGCGGATCGTTTTTCGGGGGGTAATAATTCCTTCAAAAGAAAAAATTGGTCACTCAATCCACGACTGTTTGTGGGACACAGCTGTGCGCAATTGGCTTCTGCATTTTGCCCACAAAATATACAGTCAATTCATTTTACAGTATATTCTGTGAAGCGCTTTGAGATGTCTCGAAGACGTGATAATAATAATCCTGCATTTGATAGTCTTAGAGTTGGCTCGTATGGAAAAGTCATCAGGACAGTCTTTACAAGCTGAATGGCTGGTTTCAGTGAGGGAAAATATTGGACCTGCAATCAGATAACATAATAGGTTGGGTTAAATGAACCAGAGTAATGAGCTTCAGTGGGTTCAATGCCCTTTTCCCATCCTGCCTTTTCTTATGTTCTTATTGTTTTTATTCCTTTGTGATCAACTCGAGCTTGTTCTTTAGCCAGGTATCAGCCTCAGCAATTGCTGTATGTCCAAACTACTTTCAGTTGTTTTATGTAGTGGCATTAATAATTCAGTTGACGTTTCAAGTTTGCATTTATTTTGAAATTTGCCTAAAATTTCCCCCCGAAAGAGCACTAAAAATACATTCACTAGTTATTCCTTATACGAAAAACAAAAACTATAATTTACTCCCTTCTTAGTCTGAAGTTGTTCTGCAGCAGAATCTGAAGAAATCAGCTCTGAAGGCTGAAGCTCTTCAGAGAACTAAATTTGGAAACTTTTGTCCCAAATACAATGAATACATAAACAACCTGACAAATGTGATCCGGAGATTGAGCCACGCAGAGATTACTTGTCAGTGCAATAACACCAGTGGATCATTTCCTCTCTTCAGACCAATGTAAATGTCAAATACACTGCATTTATTCATGTTGCACTGTATTTGAAAATGATCATTTTCTTATATAACAATCCTTAAAAAACAAAAGCTATCAAATTAGCTAGCTAGCAAATCAGCAGCATTTAAAATCAACAAGCCACAATCCCACATATATGCACTATAATACTTCATGTATTTCATTTATAATAATAATAATCCTTGCTTTTGATATAGCATCTCATCACTTCTCAAAGCACTTCACAGAATATACTGTTAAATGAATTGACTGTATATTTTGTGGGCAAACATTTATGATTGATTTATGAGTCGTTCATCACTGATTATTGAAATAATGAAATGAACTACCTTTCAAAAGATAATGGAATAAAAGGTCATGTTGATGATATCAGTTGACTGTTAAATGCAGTACCGGTGCAAAAATCACAATTTATTTTAGTCATTTTGGGATGAATAAAAATTAGGTTTAAAGAGTGCCACGCACGAATGTTACATTTACACTAAGTTACATATTTTTTCACAATCTGGGTTTTTTAATCATTTCCAGGAAGTGGGTTGTTATTCCCACAGGTCAGAGAGTTTACTGCCTAAACCCACAATCTTTCACTTTGCTGTGCGTAAATTGGTTGCCACTTTCGCCCACAAAATACTCAGTCGTTACACTTCACAGTAAATTCTATGAATCCAAATTACTCTGAGATGTTTTTCTAAAGTGAAAGACGCTATATAAAATGCAAGTATTTATTATTAGCACTACAAAGGTTCATAATTAGCTGGATAATTTAGTGAAATAAAACGGTGTAACATAACGTAACTAAATATAAGAACGGGATATGAAACCAAAGGAGGTGCTGCACTGTAACAAAATAGAACAGTGATATGTATAAACGAGAAATCAATAAACTAGAGGTCAGAAGGATTGCAGAAAGTATACGTGGACAGGTAAAATGTTTGTTCCTGCTCCTCAATTTTCACAATTTTATATATTGTGTCTTTGTGACTCGGGGAGATTGCAGTGGATTGAGCAGACATGCCAGCGACACAACCCTTTTCTATTCCAGGAATTTACAGCACAGAAGAAGGCCATTTGGCCAGTCAAATCTGCAACGGTTCCCAGAGCAAGCCGGTCATTCAAGCTTACTGCTGCCCCATCCCCCATACCCCTTCAACCCTCTATCCTTCATTTCCTTTACTTTCAACTTGAAACCCATAATGGACTCTGTCTTTACCACCTTAATTGGCAGGGCATTCCACATCACGACAACTGTCTGAGTGATTTTTAAACATGTCGTGGAGCCCAAATCTCATTGTCATCCATGCTTTTAATCGCTCCATAGGAAACATGCAGGTACAACAGATCTTGAATGAAAGGTAAAGAATTGTAACTCCATTTAGCAACCTCAGGTCAAAAAGGTGATTTTTTTGTGCCAGAATGCTGTAATGTTCATAATTTGCAAAAATGTTTTTATTCCAAGTGAGAATAGTGTATTTCTATAATAACTATGTATCATATCTGTATTAATTAAATTATATTTATAATTAACTGATATGAAAGATGTATCCCACCTCCATCCTCTGTCCTCCAACCCTCTTTATTCCAATCCCCCCCACCCACCTCAGCTAGAGTGTAAATGCCTAACTGTCTAGCGCCTTAGCATGTCCTCCCGAAGTGAAAGGTACGATATAAATGTAATTTGTTGTTAGTATGGATGGATGGATGGATGGATGGATGGAATGTCAATTTAGGAAGGAAACGGCAAGGAGACCTATGATTGTGTTTACTGAATGATAATCTTTAACAATTTTGGTGAACACATTTATTTCTAATAATAATTAGCAAATTATATAATACGAATAATTCTAACAAATAATAATAATCCTTGCATTTGATATACTGCCTTGTCATGTCATTGAAGTATCACAAAGTACATCACAGAATTTGCTGCAAAGGCTAGTGACTGTGTCCATGGGAAAGGCGCTATCCGGATGTAAATTGTATACATACACTGAATCTATAGTTTCAGGCATCGTGCAGTAGAACCCGATTATGATTGAGATCTGATACAATAGCCAGTTTAATTGCAAATGTGAACAGCCGATCATCTCGCTCCCTGCATGCCAGCTGGTTCCCACACGAAGAAAATGACCCAACTTCTGGATCATCAACAATAATCAACAACAAGTACTAGCATTTACAAATGGGGTAGTGCCGTTCTTAGCAATGGTGTAGTTTGACACAGTGCTGGGGAAATAGGGTAGGTGACCATAGGCACAGTCAAAGAGGAAAGTCAACATCTTGAGAAGAAAACAAATTTAAGTTTTTTTTAAAAAAAACAATATATTCTAAGTTTGCATATGTATCGTATTTTATTCCTGTAGCCGACTGGTGAGTTGATAGTGCAAATACCAACACAGATTGTAAGAAAAAATTAAAGGTATGGGTGCAGAAATACAAGATAGCAATAAATGACTGCATTTTGGTGTTTAGTGACTGATTTTCTTTGGGGCAGAAATGACACTGGAGAATTCGATTCTTATTCTGCCTGTAAAAATAATGTCTGATTCTCTCATTTCCAGGTGTCCTTCTTCTTGTTCATTATTTTTGTGGTCTACACCATGCTGCCCTTCCGTATGCGAGATGCCGTGATTGCCAGTGTGCTGACATCGTCCTCCCATACCATAGTGCTCAGTGTCTACCTGTCAACTACAACTGTCATAACAGAACATCTGGTGTGGCAGGTGGGTACTAAATAAGATCATTGCAAGGCTTTGGAACTTTGTAGACGTGGAGTCTGATTGATACACTCAGTGTCTGGTAAAGATCAGCGCATAGAAATGGAACGTGGTTGGAGTTTGTGCGTTACTGATTATATGTTGGTTTAAATCACTTTTCTTTTCGTTTACAAACAAATGTAAACGGCCATAGAGACCCATTATAGATTTCCACAAGCAACTTTTCTGCAGACTTTTGTCCACTCATTGCCTACACTATTCATCTGATTCCATTTATTAATATCGTTAGTATAAAGACAAATAAGCAAATGACAGCATTGTAATTGTAATTGTCCTTCTTGATTTTGTTTTTGTTCTCAGGAGTCCTGTAGCTCAGTGGTTAGAGCAGCAGGGTGAAACCTTGGGCAAGTTTCCTTACTCCACACGCCTGATAATAATCCCACACAAAAAAAAAATTGGTCACTTCTATCCACGAATGTTTGTGGGACACTGCTATGCACAATTGGCTGCCAGTTTTGCCCACAAATATACAGTCAATTCACTTCACAGCATATTCTGTGAAGGGTTTTGAGACGTCTAGAAGATGTGAAAAGCACTATATCAAATCCAAGGATTATTATTATTATAAATGTAAGGAAATTCTGCAGGGAAAGTGAGACTCAATATGCAGTGAACATAATTTTTCCTCCTTTATTTAAAATCTTTTTACTTCCAAGATCAAAGGGGTGAAATTTTCATTGCGAGTTCCCAAATTATAACGAGGAATTTGTCATAAACTATTGCAAGTAATTTGCTAGATGTGCAGGACTAGAAAAGACGAGAGACTGAGAATTAAAGAGAGACAATGGCATTTGACCCTTTTCCGCACATAGAATATGTTGTGAAACATCCCAAATTTTATTCCACAGTGTACATTGTGAGCATGAATTGCAATACATCCACATTTCATTCTCTGTGATTTTACGTGATATATTGCTTCAAGGTATAGCTAGATTTGTACCAAAGCACATCCCGAAATTAGATTTCATGACCTAGCCTTTAATTACTTCCCCTAGTAATGCACAATGCTGAGAAATGATAACAAGATATGACCATTTTACTGCAGATGTCCTGTCAGAAATAAATAATAAAATCATACTATCATTACCATTTGTATCTTGTACAGAAATATCTTTTAAATATCAAAACTGCCCCTTAATTATCTTTGAGAGGATGCTGCTCTTATTATGCTCTTCAATGTGAGAGAAAGGTTCAACTAGCATTGTGTCTCTGTAATTCTTGGGCTCCAGCTTGAAGACTTTCCTAATGCTACACAGCAATTAATAATCATTTCCTCTAGAGAGCTTGTATGTGAATATTTTCAGCAATTTGATCTAGTGAAAATTTAGTTACCAAGGAAGGATGGAGGGACTTGTATTTGACCTTATCGAATTGAATCATCTCCAAATGCTTCACAGGTAATTCACATCAGTGGTTGTGACTGATTTTGTAGACAAACATGGCAGCTTTTATATGAATAGCAAAATCTCACAAAGAGCGACGACCATCTCATCTGTTGGATGGTGAGTGTTGAGTAGGGAGTTGAATAAGCGACTTGAGATATGAAGGTTTCAGTAGTTATACAGAATTGTACATGTAACAGAGTTCTGCATATTACTATAGTCGCTGTGTGGAGTCCTGTAGCTCAGTGGTTAGAGAATTTGCCTTGCAAGCGAAAGGACTTGGGTTTGATTCCCAGTCAGGGCGAATCCTTAGACAAGTTTCCTTACTCCACACGCCTCTGCTTACCCAGCAGTAAGTGGAAACTTGGTTGTTAGTCGATTGGCAGATCGCTTTCCAGGGGTAATAATCCCTGAAAAAAATGTGGTCACTCAGTCTACAACTGTTTGTGGGACACTTGTCTGCCTCATTTCGCCCATAAAATATACAGGCAATCCACTTTACAATATATTCTGTGTAGCACTTTGAAATGACTCAATGAGGTGATAAGGTGCTATATCCATTGCAAGGATTATTATTATTATAGTCAGATGAAGGAGTGAGACACATCAATACAGGAAACCTGAGAAAAACAAGGTGCAGGAAGTGTCTGAAGTGTCCAGCATTTGTGGAGCATCAATTCATAAGAATACGTTCTTCTCTTGCTCCTCCCAAGCTCCACATACACCTCCCGACATTCTCCTCCACTTCATCATTATCAAATAGAGATAAAGACTCATTTTACTGTCCATCTCCTAATCTAACCCATTCTTTCCCAGCACCTTAAGCCTGCAGAACTTCTTACCTCACTCACTCCTTCTCTCCTACAATTTGCAGACTTTTAAAACTGTAGTGGCACCACCTCATTGACTTATTCTGTACTCCCTCCTGTATTTTTCTACCTCAAGTTTATCCTGCACCTTTTCAGTGCCTCAAGACAAAAATAAATCAGCATCTAAACTGTAAGGTGGAGGCACAGTCATTTCTAGCTGTAGAGAGATAACTTTATGCTTCAGAAAAAAGAAATAGGGCAGTTCACCTACCCAAGCTTGGATATTTATCTCCTGAATTTTTTTTTAAGAGAAGTATTCTTTAGACCAAAAGCCTTTCAGAATAAATTCATTCTTTAAGTGCACCATAAACATAACTAACTGATCAACCTTGTCAAGGCACAGACTGTCTCAAAAATTATAAATTATATCAAAAGCTATGATTTCTTTGAAGCACGCTTCAAAGACAGGGTTTTAGAAAATGTGTTGACAGTGTATCATAATGGATGAAAGCATGAATAACATATAAACAAGGTGAGATTTAAAAAGATTTTTCCTCATAGATCATAGGTTATGTAAAATAAACAATGAGTTCCAAACACTTAACTCTATCAATCAGCATCTTTTAGAAAAAGGATGAATATCTGTTGAGGAATAGGGTTGAAAGTTACAAGTACATATAAAAATCGAGGTATCTAAATTGCGGAGATTCATAACTGGAGTCATTAATAATGCCTCCCAGTCACAAATATTAACTTCTGATAACCAGAAGGACGCCAATCAAAATGATTTGTTTTTAAATTCAGTCTTAATTTGGAAGCTAGTTTTCCTTAGTTCTTAAAAATAACTGTTATCTAAATTACGACTGAATTTAAGAATTATATTTCAAGAATAAAAATATAATAAAAATAAAACAATTATTCTTTGCATATGTAATAATAATAATAATAATAATCCTTGCATTTGATATCGCGCTTTTCACTTCGGGAGGACGTCCCAAAGCGCTTCACAGAACACACTGTAGAGTGAATTGACTGTATATTTGTGGGTGAACGCGGCAGCCAATTGCGCACAGCAATGTCCCACAAACAGTCGTAGATTGAAAATGACCAATTTATTATTGTTTTTTGTTTTTTTGGAGGGATTATTATTAGGTGTGTGGAGTAAGGAAACTTGCCCAAGGTTACGCCCTGCCTGGAAATGAACTCAGGTCTCTCGCTTGCAAAGCAAGTGCTCTAACCACTGAGCTACAGGACTCTATAATACCTTATAACATCGAGACGTCTCAAAGTGCTTCACAGGATGAACTGTAAAACTGTGATAGTGTGTATTTTGTGTGTGACAAGATGGTCTTAACAGTCTAAAGTTACGTGAAATTTTAGCCCTCAAATCTGTTATAAAATGTTGCTGAATTCCTTCCTATATTGGCTAGTGTGAATTGATAATTCCATTCTCAACTTTCTGATTTGTTCATGTTCATGCATCAGTCCTTGGGTTCACAGACATGCTTTTAAAATGAAAATGGTTGCATAGTGCCATAGTTTACCCCATTAACTCATTTTTGCTAAAGAGATACATTCACATAATATTACCAACTAGGAAAGAACGGATCATACGTTCCTATGTTCCTATGAACAGGCTCCCTAGGGAGACGGTTGAAGCAGGAAATGTTGATTCCTTCAACTACAGATTAGATTGTTTTCTTTTAGGAAATAACATTATGGGATATAATAACAACAACTTGGATTTATGTAGCGCCCTCCACACTCAGAGCACTTTACAGTAACGGATCTCGGGACCGAGCCAGGGGGAGGGGGGTGAAGGTGACCAAAGGCGCGGTCGAAAAGAAAGGTCTTCAGCCGAGACCTGAAAATGGGAAGGGAGGGAGCGAGGCCAAGGGAGTGAGGAAGGGAGTTCCAGAGCCTAGGGGCATAGTGGCTGAAGGCACGGCCGTCGAGGGTGGAGCGGAGTCCTTGGGGAGGAGGCCAGACCCGGAGGAACAAAGGCAATGAGTGCTATGCTGAGGAGAGAGGAGATCAGAGAGGTAGGGGGGTGCAGAGGAATGCAGGGATTTGAATATAAGGTTGAGGATCTTGAAATCGATCCTCTCTGGGACAGGCAGCCAGTGCAGTCTGGCAAGGACTGGGATGATCGTGGAGCGGAGTTTCATGCGGGTGAGAATGCGGGCAGCAAAGTTCTGAATGAGTTGGATTTTATGGATGGTAGTGGAGGGGAGACCGGCGAGGAGAGCATTAGAATAGTCCAGCCGGGAGGTGACAAAGGCATGGACCAGAGTTTCAGCGGCTTTTGGGAAGAGGTATTGGCAGAGACGGGCGATGCGTCGGGGTGGAAGAAAGCGGTGCTGGTGAGGGACCGGATCTGGGGGAGGAAGGATAATAATTATAATATAGTACATAGGTAGTTTGGGACATATGTGCATGTGACCGCCAGGAAGGTGGAAGGCGAATTAGATGGACCTTGGTCTTTTTTTCACCTAACATTTCTTATATTTTTATGTTCTTATGTGTCCTAATGCCTACAAGCTTCTTCTCAACTCATATTGCATTCCCCAACCTGACAATCCATATCTCTTCTGCCATTGCATGTTCTTATTCATTGCTTCCTCTTTATTACACCTTACTTAAAACTAAGGTTTGGCCTTTTAGCCAAGGTTTGAATATTTTCCATGTCTCATCACCATAGAAATAATGAGCAAAGACTGAAATCTTGTCAGAACATCACCACTATCAACATTTT